TCATATCTTTAGTTAGGATATTGGCAATGTTCTTCGCTTTACTGAGCTGTGCATTTTATCTTTGGCTTAGAGGCTGTATATCTAATATAAGGCTGATGTACAGTTTCTTATCTACACTGGCACTGATCATATATCTTTTGTAAAGGCAAAACTTCTCAAAAAAATTCAAATAAAAAATTTGCAATGTATATAGATAATTTTTTTTCTCAACAAAACTGGGATTTGACTTTAAGCAGGGGGCCCTGCCAGACAGTTACTTAGAATTATATATAACCCTATAACAACAATTGCATAATTGTATTATTTGTAAGATGCTTTGGCCTATTAAATCTCTGGGTGCTGAGGATTATTGGCTAATAATAAATAATGAATAGATTAGAATACAAATGTAAATCCTGCAAACTGTACAGGAAATCATCCATAGTGATTTTTATAGAAATGTATTGTAGCAAATGTTTATTACATAGGCAGTTAAAATATGTACTATGGAGGATGAAAACAATTACGGGCGCTTGGCATTTGATGTGCATTTGATGTGCTTCAATGCATGTTCCTGAAGTGTTTTTAATGTGTTTTTTCAGGAGGATTCAGTCTCAGGCATGCTTAAAAAGTGAAGGAGAGCTGCTTCATTTGTGGAAAATGTGTGCAAAAAAAAAATACAAAGGAACAGATTGTTTCCGCAGTGGGCTGTGCAAGGACCCAGTGGGCGAGAGAAAAGGGGGCTTTTTAGAAACCAGTCCAGACCTCGTATATAAAAGTCTTAGAAAAACATTTATTCACTAAATTGTTGTATACATAGTTTAGAACCAAAAAATAAAGTACAAAATCATGTCATCAATAAAAATATATATCATTAATAAAAATACATATACATTTTTTTATTGATGACATGATTTTGTACTTTATTTTTTGGTTCTAAACTATGTATACAACAATTTAGTGAATAAATGTTTTTCTAAGACTTTTATATACGAGGTCTGGACTGGTTTCTAAAAAGCCCCCTTTTCTCTCCCCACTGGGTCCTTGCACAGCCCACTGCGGAAACAATCTGTTCCTTTGTATCCATAACCTGGGGTGTGAAACCTCCAGCTCCTCTAGATGCTATTTGCAACACACGCCTGCCAATATTATCCCTTATGTGCAAAAAAAAATGCTTAAAAACATACATGAGGGTGTTTAGAGGCATTCCCATTGAAGTCAATAGGGCCAAAAATGCTGAATTCTGTAGCTCATGCACTTTTATAAGCAACGGGTGTTTGGCTACAGGTGACACAACACTCAGATGTGAACAGGGGCTATTGATAACAATACAAATCCTCTGAGCATTGTAGTGCTTAGCCTTTTCTGTTACAAAACACCTAAGAAGGGAGCCTAAGAAAACACAACTTTCCTAAACAGGGCTATGGCTCTTTATTGTCCTATAACCCTGAGTACTGTCATACACTAGTATTTAAACTGTATTGGTCCCTCCATATATGAAAACAATCCCCCTGTTGCTTTATGTGCCTAGCTTTTACTAAGGCTTAACTTGAGTGCTTCAGGGCTCTAGTTCATACATCAATTCAATACTGTGAAACCCTTATAGACTTCCATGAATTAATATTTGAATAGTGCAGATTTCATCCATTATTAATTTCAATAAATTATGTATGTTTACCTGAATTATCTGGCAGGCGAAGTTTCCCACAGCATAGGTGCCGCCTCCATTGTTTTTGTACATTTTCTTTTAATGCACAGTGGAAGACAAATATAAACAAGCCTATAGAGAAAAACACTCTGGATGTTTACAATGAATGGTGATTTTTATTCCTAACATAAACATAGATGTGTGTGATGGCTTCGAGATTGTAAGGTGCAATTTACTTTCCCCTTAGCCCTTCAAAAGCACAATTCAATGTATTGCATATTGATAATTTTACAGTAACAACGGTTTCAGGCATTGTATGAATAAAGTATCATATAATAAAATATACTATTTGTGTACTTATACAGTATGTCTAGATCACAATAGTTCTTTGTCTAGACACATTAAGGTGGAGGCATTACAGCCATTTGACTTGTTCCCATAGAAAAAGTAGGTGACTCTAATAATAAAATAGGTGACTATTTGATAACAAAAGTGTCTGTCTTCACTATATCTGTCTTTATTGTATAAAAGAGACATAACTTTTCAAGCGATTCAACAGCTACTTCAGGCAGAAACGCCAATTTTGTTTTCCAGCAGCTATAATGACAACTGCCCACATGTAGAATCTTTTCCTACCTAGTCTATGGGTTCATCAACATCACACTTCAAACGTTTACAGTAAAAACTCCCATTTTCTGATCCTTGGTCCTTATCTATTTCCTTCAGCTTTCTCATCTCTCACTAATCTCACATTCATCTCCTACAATGGCTGAATACTTCATTGCCTTCATTGGTCACACCCAACACCTGTGTATATGATTTAGCGTTTTCTGGTCTGCAGAAAAGAAAAGTGCTCTATGATATGATATTGTGTTAGTCATCCCTGCTCTGTCTCTTCTTCAACTTAGCAAAAGTGATAGGAATTTATTTATTTTGAAAGTAACGTGATGTGTGGTTGGCTGTGTGCCACTCCTGGCAACCCCTGCTGCCCTAGGTCAAGAAGTATGTTGGCTATGTAGAAATCTGGATCTGATTGTAACAAACTGAAGTGGATTTTCTGTTAAACCATAAGGCATTACATGCTAGCGTTTACACATATACAGTATAGGAGGAAAAAAGAAACAAGAACAAGAAAACAGGGAACAACAAATTTACTTATTTGAGGGGTACTTGATATAGGCAGACCCTGGCTACTAAAGGGTGGCTAAATATTTAATATAAAAATCATTCAATTCAAATTTATAAACTAATAAGCCATACTGTACCTTGCAAAGAGTTGAAAATAGTGAACAGATACAGGAAGGCAACCGTAACTTCGCCCCATGCAAAGAAAGCAAACCCCCATGTCATTCCCAGCAGAAATGTAAGACTGACAACACTGCGCATGTTCCGCAAGAGCTCCTCTCGGATGCTGCGATTGGTTCTCTTTCCATTTCTTCCACAAATCTGTACCATCACCACAATGAACATGGCTACATTCATCAGGAATATAATTGCAAAGTAGGCCACACAAGTCACATAGAAAACAGTGTTGTCATTTATCCAGCAGCTGAAACAAAACAAAAGGCTTGAGAAGTGTGCTTGCATATAACCAGTTCTGAATCATAAAATATATGAGTTGAGTGTTAGAGTTTACTCTATGATTTAATATGCCAAGCAGTGGAATTAGGACGGGAATATACTGAATAAAAATAATAAATAAAAATAAATAATGTATTCTCAGCATTGTTTCTGTGCTTTATGAGCTTGTTCTCTATTAAGATGTAAATATGCAGTGCAGACAATCGTAAATGTATTTTCAAGCTAGATGCATTGTTTGAAGAAGCCATAATGTTCTACAAATCCTTAGGCTTTTAACAGAAAAAAAGCCACCGAAACACTGAATTTAATGAATCTATGAGGGTTATTCACAAAGCTGCCGAAGGCTATGCACTTGTGGCTTGTACAGCTGATTTCAGCCGTACATCGGCTGAAATCAGCAGCACATCGGCTGGAATCAGCCGTACATTTGGCTGGCTTCGGTTCAGCCGAATATGCTCAGCATGTTCAACTGAGCCAAAGTGAAGAACTCGTTCGACTCAGCCGATCCAGCATCTGGATCGGCTGAGCCGAACCTCCGGCAGGCTACTTACTGCCGTATGGCCTATTCTCATAGGGCCCGAACAGAGTGAGTGAATAGCCGAATGCCGCCAAGTGGCATTCGGCTCGGCTATTCTGCTCCGTACCTCCGTGGTACCAAGCGGAATAGAAAATCAGTGAAAAAAGTAGAATTTTTTTTTTAAATGTAAATAAATGATGAATTAAAAAAAATAAAGATTTCTTTAAAAAAAGAAAAAAGATATATTTTTAAAATATGGGCAGATCTAGCAGTGACAGCTAGCTCCTCCCAACTGTTTCCTATTGGCCAGAACCTGCTAGAGTCTTCTAGCAGGTCCTGGCCAATGAATAACAACTGGGTGGAGCCGGCTGTGATGTCACGGCCGGCTCTGCCCAGTTGTCATTGTTTAATGACAGTTTAGCATCCCCAGGTAACCTGGGGACGCTGATCTGTCATTGCAACTGGGCGGAGCCAGCCATGAGATCATGGCTGGCTCCACCCAGCTGTCAGTTGCAAGGCTTTCAGCCGGCCTATGGCCGGCCGTTCGGCCCGCTTCGGGTGTCACTTCGGGACACCCTGGCTGTTTGGCGAGCTTCAGGAGCTGCACGGGTTATATTGAACTGAAGCGCTCCGGCGGCTGAAGCTAGCCAAAGGATCAGCCGGAGGTACGGAAATGATTTGGGACCTTCAGTGCAGGCACTTTTATAGATTATAAACAAAAAATAAAGGAAAGTTAAACTTGAATAACCTCATGTACTTTACAGAATGTTTATGGCCAGTTTATATTGTTTTGGAAATCTCTGATATAATAAAAGCTGTTTTAAATTAAAAATGTAAATTATTTAATAGGACTTTAACAGAGCTGAATTTTAATAACATGCTTAGCAAAGTGAATCATTATAAGAAAACAAAAGAGAGACTTGAACACTTACAATGGATCACCACCATTTCCATTAGAATCTTTCCCATATACACTACTTCCATAAGCAATGTTTTTGTGTGTACTGGCCAGAACAATGGCAACCACTATAGCAGGTATACCTACAAAAAAAAAAAGAATGCTAAATTATTATTACTGATTGGTTTCTACTTTAATCATGTAATCACAATAATTGCCTATGTATATATATATAGATAGATATATAGATACGGTATATAGATAGGTAGATAGATAGATAGATAGATAGATAGATAGATAGATAGATAGATAGATAGATACCCCCCCTTCCCCCATTGCAGCTGGTGCATAATACTTGGTGCTTCTGGATATGAGGGAATATATGATCTTGCTTGAACACCACCACTTTAGGCTCTGACACCAGCTGACATCAGATATTCTGGTGGCAGATGTGATATAGTAAGTAAGAGTGGGTGAAGCAATGGAGAGGTGACTATCAGTGGGCCAGGAGGGCGGGGAGGTCACCACACGGACACTGTAATAAAGTGACAGTATCTCTTTAACTAGTACAACCCTTCTGTTTAAATCTATCTGTAGGACTAAGCATTATATTAAATACATTCAAATTATTTGCCTTACGTTTTGCAAGAGGTTTGAAAAACAAATCTACTTTTAATTGTTACCATGGCTGATTTTATCCTTAGTAAATTATGGACTATAGCCTAAGGTATTACACAAGAGTTATGTGACAGCAACAGGATCCAGAACTGCTGGGCAACTACTGAACCGTTCTGAGTAAAGCTAGCATGGGAGCTGAAAGGGATGCAGGAATTGCTAAAAAAAAGTCAAAAGGCACTCTGCAGCTCAAGTAAAATATAATCAACTCTTGTTTTTCAAGATCTTGATTGAAAGCCTGTGCAGTCTAACGCAGCATCACATACAGTATGTAACTAACACAAACATGACATAGAATGCATCTATGTCCATCACTTTACAAGAGGTTTATTTATTTCAAAAATTGGTTAATAAAACAAAGCAATGTACCCTGTAAAACTTCAGTTAAAAATTAGATTCAATAAACATTCAATTAAATAAACATAATAAATAATAATATTGTCCCTAGAAAAAATTAGATTAAAAAGAAAAATATAAAGACTTGCCAACCATGACCCTCTACATTCAACCTCCTGGTTTTTGGCTATTTATGAACATGTTGGAATTTTACACTCCATGTTTTTTTTTTTGCTAGAATACAATTGACAATTCAGAACTGACACTTTTCTTCCTTTGCTGAGAAAGCTTTTTCAACTTGTGTTAGAAGTTCAGTACTTTTCATTCATTTTACTACTTGAAAACGCATGAAATGAGTAATTAGCTGACTGTTATTGTAGATCTGCTTTACTCCACTATTCTTTTGCTACTCCTAACTACTAACTTAGTTCTTGTAAACTTGTTTCCTATTATCTAGGAAACCTTTCACACGCTAAGTAATGGCCAGCAATATGTTTATTGTATACACTTACCCCAACCGATAATACAGAATTTCAGAATGTATCGACGAATGTATGTGTTGAATACTTTGACTAGGGCAATGTACATATGTACAGCTTCTAATCCCATCCAGGTGAAGGTAGCTAAAAGAAAGAAGTGTAGCAGGGCAGCAACAGCTATACATAGTTCATTGATTTCAAAGGATGCAAGCCAGCCATCCAGGAGGAAGAAAAGGTTCAGGAAGAGCAGGGCAGTGCTCAGGTTCATCAAGATCTTGGAAGGATAATCACGCCTTATTTTTCTGGAACAGAAAGATAACAATTGAAGCCTCTTTTATACCCATCCAGACACCATTCAGGGATTTAAAAAGGAGCTAAGAAAGAAAAAAAAAGTTTCTACTAAGAGAGAGATTAAGCGAGAGTAAGAGAGAAATTAAAAATGAACAATATCAAAGGGAAGAAAATCTAAAAATAGATTACTAGTATTGGTATAAGGAATCTAGAAAAACATAGAAAACTATAACAACTAAAAAAATAAAATGATATACGTACTCAAATGCAATATAAGTCAGAAGTGTAGCAGCTGTACATATGGCAGATATTCCACAGCCAATATATGTTATGAAGGTAAGTATTTTTGTAGTCAGTGGATCTAAAGATTCCCCCTTTCTTTGGAGGTCCTACAAAAAAAGGAATGATGCAATGGTATAAATGGAATGATTTTCATGATTGTTATTTTTTCATTTTTCCAGATTGTCATTTTGGTGTTCTTGCATTATAGTAAACCTGGCACAAACTGAGCCAATGCATCCAGTGTAGTCCTATTTTACACCCTTTTCATGTTTTGATGTGCCGTGATTCCACTTGAGTGGTAAGGAGCCACCTTTGTCTGACAAAATTAAACAAAATCTCTAACAAGCATAATTGTATCCACTCAGCCATGTCTTTTGAATGTTAAGTGCAGTCACGATTGGGGAAATTTTGTAATTGTGACGCACAATAATCCCCTCTATATTGTATAAGTTCATATATTAAATAGAACAAGTGTAATGTCCCATGAGTAAACGTTATTATTCGGCAACTGTATAGCCCGGATTATAACCTTGTAGCGGCTGACTTCTTCTCCTTGTCTTCTTTCAAGTTTGACATCTTCAGCCATCTAGATTGCCTGACACAGGTGACATAACTCTGACACATGCACATGGGAGTTAATTAATCCCACCACCTAAGGCATGTTAGGAATATACACTGAGCTGCACACATGTAGCTAAGTGGACATTCAGAGCAAACATTGCTGGCAGCCAGAAGAGAACCTTTTGTTACAGAGAAGATATGCAGAGTCTCTTCTGCATTACAACCCTACCTGCCTGCAATTTTTCATCTTAATCCTTTAGTTATGCTTTAACTGACAGGCTGCTTCAGTCTTTTACTTCACATGTTGCTTTGCACTATAAACTGTGGACACAGATCGATACTCCCCTTTGTCCAAAAATCAACCCCCCAACCCATTTCACTACCCTTATTTACACTCTAGGAGGGATTTTTAGTAACGTCACGGAGGTAGCAGACAGATGACATCGCCAATGAATACAGTGAGCACAGCCCCCATGTGGAAAAATTAATAAACTATACTTCTAGGTCATTATACTCACTTACCAATTATACAACTGTCTGTGTATCTAAAAGGGATATCTATCTATCTATCTATCTATCTATCTATCTATCTATATATCTATCTATCTATCTATCTATCTGTCATTTATCACATTGCTAAATGACGATAGCAAACAAATTCATAAGTAGAAATTATTTTCAATACAGTTCAATAGGCACATGCAAATCGTGAATTACCTTGTTAAGTTTCCAATTTCCCCCTACCATCTCCAATAGCAAGATTTAGGAGGCAGGAGGGGTCAGGGACAGATGACTGTTACATTAAAAGTACAGGTTTAGATATAACTTCAGTTGCCTATATCTCTGGATCTACTGTTTGATGATTCGTCCTTATTTTTTGTGTGACAGATTTACTTTGTACAGCTTGGAAAGCTACATCAAATAAGAGCCAGTAGCTTCCTTCCTCCTAGTTCTGTTTAAGATGCAGCAGAAAAGTGACTTATTCCTTTGAACGTGTATAGGAATTATATCATCACTCTTGCAGTATGACAATATTAATACATATTCTGTTACATATGTGTTATGGTTTATTGCCACTACTTGTTAATTGAACCTCAGCAAACATACATACAGTATAACCATATACAGTGGGCTTGAGTGCACCTGCTCTATAGCACACAATATACAGACACAGATGCTCTTTGTATTGTGTTGCTGTTCTCTAGAATTTAAAAAATAGAGCAGTAACGTTTTTCATGAGTTGAGGAGCAATCACAATCCAGTCAAATTAAATAGGCCTCCTAATGGGATGGATGTGCTTCAATAAACAAATGTGTTGTGTTGTAAATGGGCCCTTAACATTCCACATAAAATAGAAGATTGCTGGAAAAAAAATGATCTTATGTAATAATTGAAAAGCATAAGTACATGCAAAACTCATATTTAATTTCTGAATGCAGGAGAATTTAAAGTACACCACCTACTTATATCTCTCTTCCACTCTAGCACATGATTTCCTCACAGGAGCTCCCACCCTGTCAAAAACAACAGTCTCATTTGGCTTCATGACAAATATTGTAGTCAGGCTCCTCCCATTGAATTCTCAATTTTCCCTAAAGCAGAAGTATTAGGAGAATAAAATGTATTCTTCCCAATACTTAGAGCCGGTGTTGGACACTGCAGGTGTCACATGTCGGCTCTATATATCGAGAGCTGAGCAATCACCAACCGCTGATCACTCCGTCATCTGTCACTCAGGCAGCATGGTGGATCCCGACAATATTCAGGATCTTTCCTGGCTGCAGATTAGCCCAGCGCTGTTAGCAAATAGCGGGCAGTAGACTGCTATATGCTGACTTTGGGTGACAGAAGTACATTTACTAATTTAACTGATAGGAATCCTAAAAATGAATTTAATTCTACTATATTTAATCCTAAAAATGAAATTTAAATACAAAGAATGTCTAGCCAGCCCCAGCTTAAATAAAACTTGTATTACTAGTGTACTTAAGTGGTAGGAAATGCCAACTGCAATTAAAGTTAAGCTGGAAAATATTATAGAGAAAATGAAGTCTTTTCTTTAAATCTCTTACCATTAATATACCAAAATGTGTGAGATGATTGCACAAGCAGACTGTCTCGTTCACATTGGATTCGTTTATCAGCACCCTGCAGCCAGTTTGGCTCCAGCCACCGTTTCCAGCTGTTGAAAAGCAAGAGTAAAGAATCAGCTGTTGAGAAATACGCCACTACCCCTGACCAAACAAGATTTGAAATGTTGTGTAAGAAACATTGGACGCCTTAGGTTTTTTAACAGCTGTGTTTGTTTTCACTTGATTTTCCAAGTAAAAGGGGTACTGTTTTTGGACATTATTTATATATGAGATAAAAAGGATTTATTATATAATTAGCATTTATTATATAATTTTCATGTACAGTATGTTCGAAAATCTCTGACTAATCTCACATTGTTTGCATCAATGCTTTTGCTGTGGATAATCTGAATGTAACTTAATTGCCATAACAATACTTTGTACAGTGTTAACCACTTGCTGACTGGAGTATTAAACACCCTTCCTGTCCAAGCCGTTTTTCAGTATTCAGCGATGCGGTACTTTGACTGACATTTATTCCATGTCATGCAATGCTGTACTAAAATGAATTTTATATAATTTTTGGGGGACAGATAGAACTTTATTTTGGTGGTATTTAATCACCACTGGGGTTTTTATTTTTTACTATATAATGAAAAAAGTACAGAACATTTTGAAAAAAAACCCTGTTTTCCCTACTTTATGTTGTAAAACGTTTATCAGCACCCACATTTATGTTAAAATATAAAATACGGGGTCATGTCGGACAAATAGACACCAAACATGTCAAGCTTTAAAACTGTGTGCGCCTGCGAAATTGCAAAAAACGACCATGCCTAACATTGTCTATAGGCAACGCTTTAAAATCTTTTACCACCGCTCATCATTTTAGTGTTATCAGTGATTGATGGCTCTAGAATTATTGCTCGCACTCCAAAGTTTGTGGCAATATGTAACATGTGTGGCGTAATGGTTGTTTTCGCATGTAGGCGCACCCGACGCGTATTTAGGTTTATACTGTAAGTGCGTGCACTTTTTTTGTTGTTGTTTTTATGTGGGAATTTAATTTGTTTTTGTTTTTTTACACTTAACTTGATTGCTATCACGTAGGGGGCTAATAAGCCCCCTATGTGATAGCCAATATACACTGACAAGTTCTCTTTATGGAGACATCAGGGGTCTCTAAGACCCCTAATGTCACCTAGGGACCCCAAAGAAGCTGATGAAACAGAGATCTGCTTAACCAGCTTCATCTCTGCCTCTCAGCCAGAGAAATGACAGCTATAGGCAAAAGTGATGTAATGTACATCGCTGTCGCCTTTGGAGAGAGAAGGAGGAGAGATCAGTGGTGGGGGAAATGCTGATCTCTCCTCCTTCTCTGTACTAATAGCACTGTGCGGGTCCTGGGATAACCAGCAGCGACAGGGGGGGGAGTGCAGCAGCAGAGGGCACAGTCATACAAGCAATCGGCTGGCTGTAGAGCTGGCTGAACGCTTGTATATAACAGCTGGTAATGACTGTTTAGATTCCCGGTGGGGACACGTCTACGTGCGCCAGCTAGGGGGCCCGCGTAACCAGGAAGTAAATCACGTAAATGTACGTTCATCCGAAAGTAAGCATCCACCCTCAGCCCATAGTTTTACCATGGGTGAACAGCAAGGGGTTAAAGTGTATGTCAGGGTGAAAAACATATACAGTACACCTCTTCAATACATGCATCATATGTTTCCCTTTAAAAACCCTGCGAGTACAGAAAAATACCTGTTGATCTGACAGAAATGCACTTAGCTGTTGTGGGCTGACAACACCCAATTTATGTGGACCAAGTGGTGTCAGCCCTGCCCAATTTTCTTTTGCTAAGCTACTCCAACCCTCCTACTATCCTATTCTCTACAAAATAGAAACTAATAGACTCCTTGAAAAAACTCAGGAAGTGCGCACGGCACACAGGTCAGGTATAAATCTTTTTTATAATCCAGTTTTTTATATCTTTATTTTATTTAGTTTTTCTACACTTTGTTACTGTATATCGATTCCTAGGTATTCCAAGGTAGGCTGCATTTGCATGTGGACTGCCTAGGTAACACCCACTCATGACACTGATACTCCATGTATGAAAATACTGAAATCCAATAAATAAAAGGGGCGGGCCAGGGGCAGTCAGTCTGGGGAGGAAAGGGCTGGATGATGCTTGACATTCCCCAGCCAGGAAAAAAGATGGGCTCTTTCTGACTTTCTGCAGCTTGTAATAAACCATACGAACAGATAGTGTGTAGCACATGAGACTGTACAACCGTTCAAGAATTTCATATTTGGAAAGTATTCTACTGTATTCTTTTCACCCTGAAGCCATTTGTCTCTTGCAATGTTACATAAGGAATGTCAGAAGCAAACTGCACCGTGACCTGCCCTACAAATCAGCACCTAAATGCTAAACATGATGTAGTGTAATGTTTACCACAACTTTCAGGTAGCGCAGGACATGACCTGAAACAGCCTTTTCCACTTTCATGGACTTTTGGCAAGTAACTCAGTAGACACAATTTTCAAAGCAAACAAGCTCACATAGAAGCAGTTCATATTAATCTGAAAGCAGAGCAAGATATTTATGTATAGCCTACAATTTTTTGTGGTGTCCCAGAAAACACAGGTTGGATCTTCGTTTCCCTAAAAAAAAAAAACAGAAAATCACATATATAACAAATAATTAAATACTTTTAGCTAAAATAACATAATGATATGATTAGACAATGAAAACTCAATATAAGTAATATTAAGTAAGATCAATCCCAAAGAGGGATTAAGAGGATTAAATAATCGGATTTGCGCTGTAAAATTTAAATGAAGCCTTGTGTTTTAAATAATGCATCACATATTATTGCAGGCATAATATTTGCATAAACTTGCAAAATGTAGGTATAACAACTCTACTTACCCCTGTCAAGTTATATAGCTAGAGGCAGGCCCTGCTGCCTCACCACCAGCCTGCTAAATTAACCTGTTTGTGCTCTCACTGTCTTTTAACCTGCTTAAAAAGCTCCCATTCCTTGCCTGGTTTCTAAATCACATTAGGATGACAGTTAGTATGTAATGTAACAGAGCCGGATTTGCTCACACTGCTGATCCCCCCATTTCTTTCTTGCCTAAAGGGCTAGGGTTGGTTACTCTACAGATGTGATTCTGTTATTTATACTAGTAGCTCATTTGTCTAATAATATATTTATTTAATAGTTTTCAAATAAATACATTGTACGAGTAATTATTGTTTTATAGTTATAAATCAAATATGTAATATATCAGTGATATCAATTAATTTATTTTTCATTTTTAGTTTGTTATTCATCTATACAGAGCCAATAACAATAGAATCAGGCATGCTTTACAATTAAAGATTCTGAAATAAAATAAAGGTGTTTCTACATTCCAGGTACCCGTAGACAGTGGCCAGATGTTCGTAGAGAATCCGACAGCAGATATATCTCCACCTGCACTCCTTTAGGCCAGTGCACATGGGCTTTAGGAATCAGGTAAAGTCAGTTTAAGATCAGTCTGTGTTTTGCCTAAATTGTGAATGTATTAAATGCATGGCAAATACATGGTAAATGCATGATAAAATGCATCTTAAAGTAACACTAAACTCAGCAGTTAAATCTTAAAAATGTATTCAAGTGCCTTAACTATTAACAAAAATGTATGTTATTTGTGTATCACTCAGCTGTAGATCCTCAAATCATCTCTGAATTGGTGCTGACACTGTCCTTCTTTCTGGAGGTTGGCTACTTTTGTTCCACATGGTCCCTGTGTGTGATGTAAAGTAGGGATCACGCCCATAATGGACTAAAATCTCAGTACAAATTAGTAAACTAAACATGAGATTGTAGTCCATCATGGGCGTAAGCTTGGAGCAGTGACTACTTTGTAACGCACACAGGGACCATGGGGAACAAAAGTAGCCACCCTCCAGAAGGAAGGACAGTGTCAGCACCAATTCCGAGATGATTTGAGGATCCACAACTGAGTGATAAACAAATAAGACACATTTTTATTCACAGTTAAGTAATTGAATACATTTTTAAGATTTAACTTCTGAGTTAAGTGTCACTTTAAGATAACTGTGAGTGAGTAGAAAACATGCTTTGTATCAACCTGCCACTTACATTGACAGATAAAACATATTGAATGTAATGGGTGGCTCCTTGTTTTTTTTAAACCAACCACACTAAACCACAATATGAAGACATGGAGCCCTAGGCAGGATAGCAGCATTGCCTCCCTAAACCAAGTTCTACATGTAACAACACGAATATGTATAGACTGATAAATATTTATTTGAAATAATTACCTGTTGTGATCGATGCTTAACAGTAATCCTAACGGGATCTGAAAGGTTTTGAATAGAAATATTTCCAATGCTGCATGCCACAATGTAACTGTTTAGTTTTTTATTCAAAGAATTTAGTTGTGAATCCTATCAAAAAATAAAAATACAATTTTTTTTTTAAAGTAGACAATGTATTAAAAGTAATGAAGCACATAATGCAAAGGCATTTTTTATGACTAGATAAATATAATAAAGCCCAACTAAACTTTCAGTTTATAGCAGAAAAATGCATTTTAGGTGCATCAAAACAAAAAGGTGGTAAAGTCTTAGGGGTCTATTCACAAAGCTACCGAAGGATCTAGCCGTAGCTTCGGCTGATCCTTCGGGTAGTTTCGGCCCCAGGACCCCGAAGGGTCAGGGCTGCTGTACGGGCTATTCAGTATAGCCCGTACAGCCCCAAAGTTGGCCGAGGGGCTCATTCGAGCCGAAGGCATATGCTTCGGCTCGACTGAGCCCAGGGGAAATTCGAAGCTGGCCGAACGGCCGGTCATTGGCCAGCCGACAGCCTGCTTCTGACAGCTGGGCGGAGCCAACCGTCATCTCACGGCTGGCTCCGGCCACTTGCAGAGAGATCAGCGTCCCTGGTTAACAGGTAACCAGAGACGCCGTTCTATCATTACACTGAGAAACCATCGGAGCAGCTGTAAAATCACAGCAGCTCCGCCGGGTTCTGTGTGTAATGACAGAAGGCGTCCCTGTCATTACACTGCGGCTCCTCAGTACACTAAGAACCCGGCGGAGCTGCTGTAAAATCACAGCAGCTCCGACGGGTTCTCAGTGTGTAATGGCACATGGCATCCCTGGTTACCAGGTAACCAGGGACGCCCATGTGTCATTACGACGAGAGCTTAGGAGAGCCAGCAGTGATATGAAAGCCGACTCTGCTAAGCTCTCATCTTAATGACAGAACAGCATCTGCTGGTTACTAGGTAGCCCCGCCGGCTCCGACAAGCTCTAATTCTAATGGCAGCTGGTTCCAGCCAATAGAAAACAGTTGGGTGGAGCTTGCTGTCACTGGTAGCTCCGCCCAATCATTTTTTATTTTTCTACTTCTTTAACTGTTTTTCTATTCTGCTCGGTACCACAGAGGTACCGGGCAGAATAGCCGAGGCGAATGCCGCCCACTCACTGCTGTTCGGCATCTATGAGAATAGGCTGAACAGCAGCGAGTAGCCTGCCGGAGGTTCGGCTCAGCAAATCCAGATGTTAGATCGGCTGAGTCGAACTCCTTCTGCACTTCTTGTAGGCCAAACATGCCGAGCATGTTTGGCCAACCCGAAGCCACCCGATGTACGGCTGATTTCAGGCAATATACGGCTGAAATCAGCCGCACAAGCCTGAGGTGATTAGCCGAACAGTGTTCGGCTCACTTCACTTTGGGTCGGTTGTTCACTCGGCTGCCTGCGGCAGCTTTGTGGATGGACACCTTAATGTTTCTTCAAGAAGCAGCTACAGTCTATGCACTGCCGACATGCAGCAGAGAATGACCCTTGCTTTCTGTGTGGAAGCAGTGGTTTCTTTGCAGAGGTCAGATGTACATTGTGCTGAGTTACACCTAGAACTCTGCAACCAGCAAAGCTCATGCTCTGAGTCAGCATGGGGCATGTCGGAGCTCTGCAGAGAGACCACTGCTACTACACAGACAGCAAGAATCCAAGCATGCTGACAGGAGACAGTTTTTTCTAAGGAAAACAAACTATATGCTTTAAAAAAAAAACTTTAGCTTTCATGCACCTGAAATGTATTTAGCTCATTTAAACTGAATGTTCAAGTGGGCTTTGAAGTAACTATAAGTTACACATCAAAAGGTAACAAACTGAGTGGCTAATATTGCACAGTAATATAACACAATACTTCGGATGATATGTTAATTTGGTTTAGATTCTTAACAATCTCTTTAAAATAAATACTATTCCACCACAGCAGTGAGCTTACATTAAAAAGCATATAAACAATAGGGAATGATTGATATTTCTTCCTCCCAACTTTCTTGTGACCCAAAGTCAGCACCTAGAGGGCTACTGCTCACTATTTGCTAACAGTGCAGAGCCGTGCTGCAGCAGAGGAAAGAGCACAACAATATTGTCGGGATCCACCCTTACTGCCTGATTGACAGCTGGCTCTGTTTCTCTAGAAATAGGGATGGGATAACACCTACTTTATATGTGTTACACGTTCCCATTCATACTGCAAAACTTAAAAATAAATACTTACATTTTAAGTGTTTTTTTATTTGCTAACTAGAATCCCCCTATGTAATATTGAGCAGGGCGCTGTGACAAAGTAAGTTTACCATAATTAACCCTGTCTGTACTGTGCTGGCAGGTCCTCATTATCAGTTGTAAACTGGATTTGAACACTGTCCTAACAAAGAGTTAAAAATTTAAAAAAATTGTATGTTAACAAGAAGAAACTCAGTCTATCCCTCAGTTTGACCTTCTACTTTCACTTTAAAACTGGTTTGAGTGGCCTGGACCAAAGAAACATCTAAATTTTAATTATTTTTACATCTGTTTTGTGAATGGGAACATATAACAAAGATATAGTGGGCGTTTCTCAAATTTGACTGCAAAAGTGGAAGTACACTTTAAGCAAAGAGATAAATATATGGGAGACTGGGCTTTATTACCACAAATAAAATAAGCCCTCCACTCTGGAAGAGGTTGAATAAAGATGTTTAACTAAAATGTGTTTCTGTATTTTTGTTTGCTAATGAATGAAAGTACGCTCTTTTCACTAATCACAACTCCAGCAAGTGGAAACATAAATACAGGAAGTGTGTCAAACATTTAAACAAAATTAAATATTATGTTATATAGTTTTAAGGAAACATGTGTTACCTTTTTAACCCAATGTCCTGTTTACAGTATTTTTTTTTTTTTTTCATGGAACATTTTTCAACATCCTTAATTACAATGTGCCACATAGCACAGTACAAGTGCATGGTAAATGGGTAAACATACAGTGCGTCCTTAATATAATCATAGTAATGACAACACAAGCTGTGACCAGGTTGCTTGATAAGAACATGTTAGATCACTTCCTGTGGAATGACTTGAGTCTCTTATCTGATTGGCAAATGTATTGTAATGAACAGCTACATTACAAAAATAAATATTTGTTCTACGAAAGAGATATGTGCAAAATTCCATTTATGGTACCTATGATTTGCTACACTTGTTCCTAAGTAATTCTCAAGCACTATACTAAATGCTACACATAATTTTAATTGTAAAGGAATATATTCTACGCAGAGCTAAAGGTTTATCGACATCTAGTATATGGCCAAGAGCATGTAAACAACCCTCCAAATTATTTAGTTTAGGTGTTTCCAATGAAGGGTACGGTTAATGTGAAAGACAGTTTAGACAATTTTGTGTTTCCATCCTTGTGGCAACAGTTTAAGGATCACCCATTTCTGTTCCAGCATGACTGTAAACCTGGACACAAAGCTAGGTCCTTAAAGATATGGTTTGACAGGTCTGGTGCGGAAGAAGTGGCCTGAACAAAGCCCTGACAAAGCCTGAACCTTTGGAACCTTTGGAATAAATCAGACTGCCAACTGAAAGCCAGGTCTTCCCCTTCAACATTAGTACCTGTCCTCACAATTGCTCTTTTGGCTGAATGGCCACAAATCCCACAGACACACGTCAAAATCTTGTGGAAAGCCTTCCCAGAAGAGTGGAGGCTGTTTACTGCCACAAGGGGGAAAGGCATCTTCATATTATTGACAATGGCTTTAGAATAGGATGTCCAGCATTATATCATATAGGTGGGATAGTCTTGTAAACACAACTTTTTGGCCATATAGTGTACATGCCATTGAATACTGGTTACAATAAGTAGATAGAAACAGAATTTTACTAGCGTGAATAAAAACACATTACTGCAAATATAAAGTAATTGGGGGTGATTTACTAACCGAAACACACACACACACCAGGTGTGTGTGATTTTCACACAGCAAAACGTATTTATCAACCAAAAAGTCTCTAAAAGCATATTTCCACTAATGCCATATATGGAAAAATCATGCACATGATGCATATATAATGCTGCTTCACAGTTTAGACAAAAATGGTTAGCTCATGCATTTACATTCCTGCATTCATCAACGCAAGCAACATAACATAGAGCTAATTTACACCACATTACCTTGCAATTCATTGCAGGGCTTTGAACAACACACCTGCTGGGTGTGTACACACTACAAAGGTGTTTCGATTCCTCCCATAGAACATGCTGGGAGGGAACACACTGCAGAGGTGTATACACATTCGTGGTGTGTTTATAAGGTTAGTAAATCAACCCCATTGTGTCACATTGGGTTTTTACATCTTCAAATTACAATGTGCAGTCACAAATCATTATTTTCTAACACTAAAGTAGAGTTTCAATGCCAGAGCAAATAATTTCCACCTTGTCCAAACCTCTCAATAACATTTACACTGCTAGCATTCTAAAGCTAGATTCTAACCTGGATGTTTTTACTCGGTAGGCAATTTCACAAGTATATAAGCAAAATTATAATGATTTTGAATTTATTTTAAATTAGTTTTATTATTTATGAATTAATAAAATTGATGTTGCTTATAATTTATTTCTATTATCTATATTAACGTGTATGTAAAACTAACGTTTTAATTTTTAGATAGAATGTGGAATTGTTAGAACCCATGTCAGGTTTTTATTGCGGTCTGTGTCCTTGCCAAGTAGAATTAGCTCCACTATTCATCTTGTCTAAAGTATAAAAAGTGATCAGAAATCACATATTTGAAGAGTGTTCTCAGGGAACAACAGGTGAGCTGAAATCTTACAAAAGGGAAACATGTTCTGGTGACAAATGTCATGCTTTGGATAGATTTCATCTTACTTGCTGCGTCTCTGGGACAGGAAGTGAAGGGAAAGCTCCCCAACAGGGCACACACACAAAATAAACATTTACCACAGCCTGTCCTTTGACAGAATGCCGTAGAGAAACACCTTTGCTCTCTTTGTAGAAGCAGTTGCGTCTCTGCAAAGCTCATTCACACTGCTGATTAGAGAGCTCTAGCTGTAGGGGCAGTGTCAGACCTCTGCAAAGAGAACACTGCTCCCACACAAAGCACGTTTTTGAAACAGTCCTGAATAAAATAAAAATATACAAAATACTAAATATGAACTTTGAATATGGCAAAATATGCATTTGAGGCGATAGGCTTAAAGAGAATTATGAGGCGAGTGATTTTCAATCAGCCTCATAATCTGAGCCGACCTGTGACAATGAAACTGTCACAGGTCAGCTCAGTAGATCGGGAAGTGAGCGAACACATACCGTCGCTCGCTCACTTCTCGATCTATCCCTGCAGAGAGCTGTGACTGTCACTGTTCCCCCCCTTCCCCCCCTTCCCCTGTCCGATCCTCCAGCGCTGACTGGCAGAACGAACGGGGCGGGTACAGCTGGCTCTGCCTCTAGATAGAGCCAGCTGTAACTCACGCAGCTGGGTGGATCCAGACAGCATTGTCGGGATCCGTTCCGGCTGCGGCGTCTCAGTACACCGCGAGCTGTAGCTCGCGGTATACTGAGCTTTGGGTGATGGGAGGACGCTAGTTTGTGTCCTCCCATTACCCTTAGGAGAACTATGGGGAAAAGCCCTAACCCCATAGTTCTCCTTTAATTAACAAAGCTTTAACAAAAGGAACATACGCTTTGTTTTATGCCATGTGGCAAATTTTCAAATCTTGTTGGACTCTAAAAAATAGTGGTCACAAAAAAAAGTATTCCTGCTATGTTAGCTTTGTGAAAGGAGCCAAATGTATTTATTAAAAAAAGCACAGAAAGCAATGCAAAGTTATAATCATTGGCAACCAGACCCACTTTTATCAGTAATGGGTAAACAGTCTAGTAAAAGCTGATTTTAAGATTAGATCATTCCTTATTATTGTTCTTTGCATAGTTTGATGGAATAGCGACTTAAACGTTTGTTTCTACATTATAAATATGGATACGCTTCTAATACTATAGAGAGAGGGCCACAATGATCGATATAAGGTCTAATGCACATGGCCAAAAATGGCTGTACAGCACACATATCAGAAGTATTTTCAGCCCTGGACTCACAAATGTACTGTACAGCTGCGTGCAACCAGCCTATAAGCAATCAGCCTGTAGAAATCAATGACAGGAAGACCGATCCCATTGTTTACATGTGTACTAGGACTTACGCATGGCCCCTGCGAATGAATATTGTTATTAGAGAGCTTTATCACATTAAATATCAGATTTGTATGACATATATGAATCTTGTTTTATTTACCTGAAAAAGTCCAGCTTTGCTGAAGAAAGTGAACTGAGCTCTTGAAACTGTATAGAAATCACTTTGACTTAATTTTGACAAAAGGCTGGATGGGAGGACAACGGAAGCCAGAGGACTGTCTTGATTTTTCTTCAAGTCAATCTGTTGAAGAGTGAAAGTACATATTTTTAGATATCTTTAAGTAACACGTGATATATGAAATTATTACATGGCATCACATCATATCCACTTCTATGTCTAATTCTTGAGACTAATGGGTTGATTTACTAAAGACAAATAGTTTGTTCACCTTGCAAGGGAATTTTCCCTTAGTTTAGTGAATGAAATAAAGCTCTGCTGGTGTCCATCAGTCAATCATTGCAAACAAAAATGCAGTTTTTTTTTTATTTTCCTTTCTCTTGATTGGGTATTCTTTGAATTTTTTCCACATTCACTAAGCTAAGGGAAAATTCCCTTGCAAAATGAACTGCCTATATGCCTTGAGTAATTCAACCCCAATAACATCTTCTCACATAAGCCACAAGTCTTGAATTTGGTAGCATAGTAAAATACATAATTTAAGTATTTTATTTAGGTAGAATGAGGGCAAATATAAAAAAAAATACAAATGTTCCAAAGATTTTATTTCTCTAATTAGCACAGTCCGAGAAATCTACCATTCTTAAAGTGGACCTTTACCTCTTTCACTAAAAATCACATCAGCATTCAGCTCTGCATGGTGATATAAAATCATCTTACATTTATTGGTTAAATAATCATCATTTGCTTTTACTTACAATTACTGTTTGGCCACTTCCTGGTCATCTTAGACATTAGTAATGTAGCCTGTGCCTAAGAGTTGCATCCTGGGAAGGTTGCATTACCAGTGCATTTCTGGGAAATCTCATCTGTAAGCTGCAAAATCTCCCCGGGGTCTTAGGGAAAGGCATTTTCACCTGAGATGATGTGCATGGTCACATGTCTTAGTGGCAGAGTTCCAAGAAGGCAGATGAGGCAGAGTTCCAAGAAGTAAAGGGAGATGGATTAATCTGCCCTTAGTAAAAATGGCCAATTTGAGAAGAATGGGGAGGAGAATAAGGTATGCAAGGATAAAAACCTGCAATTATCTAGAAGTATCTGTTTGTAGACTGTCATTGCTAAACATTTCTAAAGGTACCTTTGTTGTCATTTTAAACATAAGGGTAAAGTTCCTCTTTAACCTCCCTGGCGGTATTACCGAGTGTAGCTCGGGGTTACTTTTCCATACCATAAGCGGTAACCCCGAGCTACACTCGGGAAAGCCGCATAGCATTTACTTACCTTGTCCCTCGAGCCTCGCTGTGTTCTGCGGCCGATGCCGGCTTCCGTCTTCCGGGTTCTGTCCCTTGTGAGCGTGAGCGTCGCAGGGGGCGGAACCGGCTGAATATTTTAAAAAAACAACGACAAAGACGAAAAAAAATTGAAAAAAAAATTGACCGCAAAATGACATGAAAACAAAAAATCATACCGCCAGGGAGGTTAAGGCAGACCTTTCATTGTTATATCATGACACAAGTGACTAAAATACATCTGCTCAATGTTTCAGTGTAGCATTAGGACTGAGTTAGGTTTATGCAGGTGTGAAATGGTATCATGTAGCTATTTCATGTATGTGATTGCAAAATGCAGAATCACATTGCACTGCTCTTTAAAATGGGACTGTGTCTTACACCAGCTCCCGCACCACCATCTAACACATGCACAAAGAAGATATAAACCCTAAAATGGATGACATTTAGTTTGCTAAAGCACTATGTACCATAAACAATTGTCAAGTTTTTTTTTTATTCATAAAATATTGTTATCACATCTTTTCCATCCTTTTTTTGTATCTCAGTGCTGCTGATTTCCTCTGGCTTCTCACAGCCACTTCCAGTCTATATGCCCTCTCTGCCCATCATTGCTCTGGATCGGCTTACTGACTTTGATAATACAGGATGCACAATGTCTGTCAGCACAGCCAATTCTACTCTCCCCCAAGGAATCATGTGACAATGCAGGAGTCACCCTATAACAAGAAGTGCCTGAACTGAACAGTAGCATGTCAAAGCTTATGTGAAAGTTTAGCAATAGGGTTTAGATCTACTGTGACACTTAATAGCATGAGACATACTGATATATTGCTTTTAAAAAGGACGTCAACATGCTTAGGTGACAGTTGGCTACAGTAAAACATATTTGCTCACTGAATGTATGCCAGGATAATGTGTTGAGTAGGCAGCGCTGATCTCAGCGTACAATATTATTTACTCAGCATCTCCTAGCAGGTGATGGAGACATGATATGAAAAATGAGACATTCCATGTGATGGCCAATGATTCTAGCTGACAGTAGTTTCATGTAGATAAAAGTTAGTTTGGCTTTGTTTTCTTTTCTATTTAAAGTAGCTGTTGTTGGTGATGCTTTGGCTTTCAAAAGTAAAGGAATTAGTACCAAGACCACTGAAGAGCAGTACAGACAGATCCACAAAACCATGTTATTGTCTAGCTATGTTTGACACCCTGAAGTCCAAAGTGTATTTAAACCCTAACAACAAACTTTTCTTAATTGTGGCCTTTTGGTCTGTTAAATATACAGAAAGCACTTTGTTATATCTTATATATGCTATATATTATATATATCACTTGCACTCTTTTTTGAGGACTACAGAAGCCCCTCTATGTTATGGAAAATTGATGAGGATTGGGGTTCCACAGCCCTATCTTGTTTTTCTTCTCTTGATACAAAAGGGGAAGTGAGTGTTGTCAAGCTAATGAATGAAAATGAGTTGGCAGAATCACCAGGTGAAAATAAAGGAACAAAAGTTTGAGAACATAAAAAAATATGCAGCCACCACATCAAAGGACTGGTATGCTGCAATATATCACATTTTTGTTTTTCAGTTTAGATATGCTTTTAGACACATATCAACATACTAAGAAAAAGATACGATGTAAGATGTAAAAGATGTCAGATATAAAACATTTATACCATCTGCGTTGGAGCTGTGCTGGCCGTTGTTTCCAACGCAGCCCCAGTGCAAGACAAGACAATTTGCCTTGTCATGGCTGGTGCCCATTCACACCACTGTATTGTGGTAGGAATGTAGTGGTGTGCGCTGAAAAAAACTAAGGAGTGCCGGATGCGTTACGATACAACCAACTCGCATCCTGCTGTGCCCGTAGAACTGAATTAAATTTCACTTGTGACATTTCAATAAAGTTCTAACAAAAAACACAGTGGGGTGCGCTGGAATAAGCGATGGGGCAGCACACACCAGACACTGTGCGATTAGCGTAGCGTCTGGTGTGAATGGGCCTTAACTTGGGCAGTCTCCTTATCTATATCCAAATGGCATCACACTTTGTTCCGCAAGCAATGTTTTCTATATATCTTTATTTATGTACAGTGAGGCTTTTTCTATACAGTATATATTTATATATATATATATATAGTAGATATATTGTACCTCAAAGTCATGGCTGTTGTTCTGAGCTCCCACGCTGAAGCTGGCACCATTGTATGAGGTAGCGTTTACTTTGGAAACTCCCAGACACAAGTTACGTGACACAATGCTGACAGACGGCTGTGAAAATTGAATCTTTAGTGCCAAGGCTTCTATTGTTTTTAGAGCTCTAAAAGCAACACAAGCAAAATAAAATGAAGTTATTGTTTATTCATTTTTTATTGACTACACATTCTGCTGTACTTTATGTATACAGAACTTTTCAAATCATTCACTAGCCCAGAAGACATTTACAGCTGAATATCCCTACCACAGTCATACAGACACACATATAGGACTAAAGGAAATCTTTACTGGGAGCAATATACAGGCTGCCATTGCTGATTTCTTCCAAAATTGTTACTTGCTTGGCTGTCTCTACAGAACCCGCAAGTACTGCATCTCTTTCACCACAGGTATCTTTTAAAGTGTATTTCAACTTTTGAAGCCAAATTAGGATAACACCTATTTTATATTTGTTCATTGTTGTCATTCACATGGCATAAGCTTAAAAAAAAAAAAAAATCTTCTTACAGCTTAAATTGCTTTTACTTGGTTTAGGGTTTTAAGGGTTAACATTTCTGCTTGCGTAAGTTTCTTTGCAATGTTAGGAGTAGCTGTGAGGGTTCTGGGGTGGTTTGTCCATTGTATGTTAATTTAGTGAATGAGAGAAACACAATTCTCAAATTTCAGTCCTAAATTTCAGTCCTAAGCCTTTCCATTAGGACAGACCACTGTGAAGGTGCTGAGAAAAACCTGGAATCAGAAATTGTGCCTGCTTTTAACAAAACATCTTAAAGGTAAGTAATGTTTTTTTAATAATTTTTCTTTATGCTGTGTGAATAGGATCACATAACAATCATAAAGAGGGGTTTTCTCAACTTTGGCTGCAAAAGTGGAAATACACTTTAAAGTCTATCTCCAATTGAACATAAAATGCTACCGTTTCAATGGGGCAACCTTGCTTCCCAACCTCAATTAAGAAAATATGTATTAAGAAATATTTTTTTAAATTATTTTTGTTTATGCTGTGTGAATAGGATCACATAACAATCATAAAGAGAGGTTTTCTCAAATTTGACTGCAAAAGTGGAAATACACTTTAAAGTCTATCTCCAATTAAACATAAAATGCTACTGTTTCAGTGGGGCAACTTAGCTTTACAACCTCAATTACAACCTCAGTTTCGATTTGTGCTACAGGGTGTTGCCATGCCACTTGATGTGCTATTAGTGTTCTGGCTTGCCAGACCCCTCTAACTGCTATTATGATGGCTGTTTTAAAGTTCTTTTGAAGATGTTAGATTCTTTGAGAAATGTTTACTCAAATTAAATGTTGTTGTTTTTTGTTTCAAGATGTCTGTAGGCTGGGACTGTTTACTGTGGTGGGGATGTGCCAATTCTCTGCTGCTCTTAAAGACAAAAGATGAACATCCAATCATTTTGAAAACTAGCGAATTTCAACAGAATGAGTGTGCCATGAGGTTTCCTGACTTAGTTTTTGGGTTCCCAGATCTCAATGATGTCACAGGGGGTTCTCAAATTTGACTGCAAAGGTGGAAACACACTTTATATTTACAATTTTGTATGATCTACTCTTACTTACTATGAAAATCTACCTATACTACAAATGTCAGAAGAACATTATTGTGTTATTGTATAGACATACTGTACATTAATAGGGGCATGCCAAAATCTAGACCACTACTTACTCAGAAGATGATTTTATTAATGCGTTGTCTGAGCTGCTAAGGATATTGGAGAACACATTTACAACTGTTGTCCCTAGATCAGCATTGATTTCAACGTCATTTACTATTTTCTTCAGTCTTTCGACAACTTCATCGACTTTCTCTGCTGTCATCTCTTGGCCAGTAAGATTTAGCAACTGATTAGCCAAGTCGTTTGCATTATCTGTTAAAGGATAATCAAACCTTTTTATATTCAAGTAGTATTAAACTCTCAAACTTTTTTTCAATAATGAATCCAGATCAAACATATATACATTGTCCAGCAAAGGGTTGCTTTACATTTTTGCCCAAACACTTACAATCATCAAGTTTCTGAATAGCTGCTTCCAAGTCTCTCAGCTCAGCTTCCCTGAACGCTCTGTCCAGTATAAGATCACAAAGGACAGTGCAGACTCCAGCAACTGTTCATCTACTAGCTTGGAGGAGAGAGGAGAGGGGGCCAGGGGGGAGGAAAGTATCTTGATTTGCTGGGTCTGTGTGTTTGTGGAGACACACACAGCTTACTAGCACACCCAAGGGTGACTGCATAGCACTCTGCTTGAGAAAGGAGTCATCTAAAACAGGAAGTCAGGACGAGTGCTCAAGAGACCAGCTAACTCTGCAGGAAACTAAAACTTTAAACATCAAGTAGCAGCATCCATTGTAAGTGATTTCATCAGCATTTGAAATAGTCTAAAAACCTTTTGGCTGTAATATCACTTTAATTCCGTACAATCCTTAGCAGAAACATTACTGTACAATTGGCGTCCAGATTGGCTTCCCGGCTAATCTGGAAGCCAGGTAGCGAGTCATTACACGCCTGCCCGGCATCCCAGCTAATCAGGAAGCCAGGTAGCGAGTCATTACACGCCTGCCCGGCATCCCAGCTAATTAGGAAGCCAGGCGTCAAGTCATTACATGCCACCCGGTATCCTCAATGGGACTTCTGGTATCGGTATTTGGTATCGGCGAGTACCGTAACAAAAATATTGGTACTCGATACTGGTAAAACAGTATCGGTCCATTTCTTGTAGAAAGCCCAAGAAAACTGCAAGGGAGGTTGAAAACAGTTATCCTCTGTTATTAATATTATCAAGGGAAGTCTTCTATGTGTCCCAAAAAGACAGCACCTGCCATAAGGTGCCCGCTAAGGGCACATCTTGTTTTAGAGGCGTTGACGAATGAAGTATTATTAGATTTGAAAGATCATTGTATAACACTCCTTTAAGTAGAAGGATTGCTAAGGATTCCACGATCAGCTACCTGTTTATGCTTTGGCTATGTACCTCTCTTACTCTTTATTCTAGAATGGGATGAAAATGCAACCATAATTTTGTTCTCTACTCACCCATGCAATCTGATAAATCTGGCTCACCCCAAAAGGATGTATAATTGAAGAGACCTAAAAAACTGTAGAAACAATAAGAGTTGTAAGAAGAATACAATAAAATAACATACTTCAATATATACAGAAACAGAGAGGTACACACAGGATGCATTCAAGAAATTTTAGTAAGTGTTCAACGTTTCAGTGAGGCACAGCCCACCTTTCTCAAAGCCCTTTCTCAAATCCCAATAGCAATAGTAAGAAAACAGTCCCGAAAAGTTTTACATCTACACGATCTTTTTTTAAGTGTCTACGTACAACATACTATAGACTGTGGATAAAAGAATTGCTATATACAGGCTCTTCAGAATTCACATACATAAATTAACCTATTAGTCATAGCTACTGGATGAACTAACAATGCAAAAATAATACCACGTATCCGAAAACATGCATCATAAAATTACAACTCAGGGATTATACTGGGACACAGTTACAGATAGAGAAACCGATCAATATTATTAAAGGGTAGCCAAAAACATATCCTGTTATTTTCTTAATATCATGTTCACTCACCAACTTTTTTACTCACATCAGAAGGGCAAATCTATCAGAGGCAGATTTTATTATTCCATCTGTACCTACACCACTTTCATTTTTGGGTCCACAATAGTCAGATTTAATTTCCTGCATTTTAGAATCTCAATATTCACCAGGCAGAGCACATATTGTACACATCTTCCAAACATATTGAAGTCCAAGGATATCATACTTGCCAGAGCTCATTTATTATCTATCTTACCAAATGCTCATGTGGTTTACATTACATAGGTAAAATGACATAAAAAATGAAAGACAGATTGACTCAACACCAATATTCTATACTGATTCCCCAAATAGAATTGGCTTTAGCAAGACATTTTGTGCAATATAGACATAGCGTAGCACAGCTATGGTTCCTAAACATTTCTTGGGTTCCTAAACTTTGCAGGGAGGCGGGGGCCACAGAGATCTGATTTTGCAAATACAGGGAAGTGAATTGGATTTCTGAACTAGAGACCAAACCTCCTACATGGTTAAACATTGATGACGAACTTCATCTGTCTGTAAATTTTGATAATTTAATATGGTTCCTTTTGTTTTTTCTACAGGAACAGAAATGTTTTGAGTTGTTATCAGGATTGAGGTTTTCTTTGAAGTGTATTTATGATGTACGTTCTCTGATGCACATTATTGTACTTGCATTAGTTTGCATTATTTTGTTGCATTGCATTGCATTTGTGTTAGTTTCTCTGGTTGCTATGACTGATTGGTTAATTTTGTAAGTCATTTCTAGTTAGCCTGCATTACATTGTACATTTTATTCAGTATGTTGTATGCACAGCCATGAGAAAGGATCTTGCAGATCCAAAACGGATTGTATGCATACTATTGTTATAGGGATTTTAAATAAATGAATGAGGTGCTGCAGTAATAACTGAGATCACGTTTAAATAAATATTAGGGATGCACCTATAACAGTTTTTCGGTATCGAGTACGAGTACCGATATATATTTTTTGGCTTCCTGATTAGCCAGAAAGATGGGCGAAGTGTAATGACTCGCCACCATGCTTCCTCTTAAGCCGGGAAGCCATCTCAATGCTCCCTTGTCACCAGGTGGCATGGAGCCGGCTTTCTGGCCAATCAGGAAGCCAGGGGGCGGGTAATAACTTGCCACCCGGCTTCCTGATTGACCAGCTTCCCGACCAATCAGGAAGCCGGGCGGCAAGTCATTACACACCGCCAGGTTCCTGATTGGCTGGGAACCTGGCTCCATGCTCCTCTGTCACCAGGTGATGAGGAACCATGGAGCCGACTTTCTGGCAAATCAGTAAGCCGGGGGGTGGGTAATGACTCGCCGGCCCGGCTTTCTGATTGGCCAGCTTCCTGATTGGCCGGGAGGCCGGCTCCATGCTCCCTGATGACGAGGGAGCATGGAGCTGGCTTTCTGGCCAATCAGGAAGCCCGGTGGCGTGTAATGACTTGCCCCTGGCTTCCTGATACCGTACAATCTGGTATCGGAATAAGTATCGGGAGCATTTGGTATCGATATTGGCACCAATGCCAATACTAATATCGGTATCGGTGCATCCCTAAAAAATATATCTCTATGTACACAAATGTTAATAAAAAAGTGACAATTTACACCAGTAATATGTAAAGCTTAATTGTGTCTTTAAAAAAATAAATAAAGCAAACTATGCTGCATAAAAATAATGAGGGGTATTTATAAAAACTGATGCTTACGAAATATGGACCAGTTACCCACAGTAACCAATCAGCTTCTCTCTTTAGTTTGTTCAGTTACATTTTGAAGATGAAAGACAGAAGCTGATTGGTTACTATGCACAGCTGCTCCAGATTCTGCCTTCTCCCATTTTGATAAATTCCCCTTTTATTGTCATACTTGCTTCTGTTTAAGGCAAGGACCGCTGCCCTTTGTGTGAGTGCATTATTCTATTTCCAGTGGTCCAATCTGCATCTTGCACAGTCACAACTACTTCTCTACTTCTTTGGGAAGCGCCTACCACCTGCTGATTGGCAAGAAGTAGATGTAACTGTGCTGGCGAATTGCCTCTGTTCTGAAACTTTGGGCAGTGTTATCAGCCCTGCCCAGTTGTCTGTGGACCACAGAACACCTTCTTTTGTTATGGAGCTGTGAAGAGGTGGAGATGTTCCATAGTCCACATCTGGAGCAAGTGGCCTAGGGTGAGTGAGTGTTGTCACTCTATGACAGTAAGTGTGCTACTGGAAGGATCACAAGATAAAAAAGAAAAAAAAAACTAAAAAAAAAAAGAAAACTAATGCAGTTACTGCATCTAAGAAGAGTTTTTCTTGGGTTTAGACACACTTGGGGCTGGTGCAGACTTTGGCGATAGTGTGTGGACACAGTGGTTGCCGAAAGGCCCCATTGATTTCAATAGTGTAACATCCGTGCAGCAATCACTGAAAAAAGGTACATGTACCTTTTTTGGCGCCACACACCACACAGTTTTTTAAACAGCGATTGTGCACAATTGCACGGGCGGTATCGCGGTGGGAAACTGTGATCTACCTGGGGCGACTGGGGTGCCCTTAGAAAATAAGGGCACCGTCATCGCGATCAATGGTGTGCGATTACATGCCCAGGTGGCAATCCATGCGGTTTCGTGCATGATCTTTGCACGGTCACGGGTCACCCAGTGTGAACCTGGCCTTAAATTAGCACATTCAGTGGTACCTCGGTTCACGAACGCTTCTGTTCGCGAACAATTCGGTTTGCGAACAGGAAGTTCAGCAAAATTTTGCCTCCGTTCGCGAACTCCGATTCGGGTGACGAATACATCTGCAGCCATTTTCCCTACTCTGGCACATGGTCATGGCTTCCTCTAGTCGAGATCACAGTTTGATTCGGTTCACGACCAAATCGGTTCGCGACCAGAATCGCGGAACAAATTAAGTTTGTGAACCTAGGTACCACTGTATTATGGTAATGCACTATTGATCCTGCTCCTCATCACTTTAACCAAGCAAGGAATATTGCAAAATATAAATATTCTCTGGAAACATGTTTTTTAATGACTGACTCCAGTCTTCATCTCCTATTGTGTTTTTCTTGCACTTGTAAACATTGGTGCCATCGTTTATGGTGCAAACCTAGAAAGGATGCACTCTGACCTTTTCATGATAGAAGCAAACATACATAATAGTGATATACATTGACATGTTGTCCTAGAAAAAAATGTTTAGCACCATAAAACCATTAACCATAAAAATCTAGTAAAGAGTGAGTATTAAATGCATTAACTGTTTGCACTGTATCAACCTATACAGAGTTGAGCTCTGCTTGAAAAATGTCTGCAACATAGTTACATAGAAGGTAAGGCTGAATAAAGACACAAGTCCATCAAGTTCAACCTATGTGTGTATGTCTGTAATATATTTGGCTCTTAGTAGTTGCCATAAAGTTGTTTCTACTAACTAACTAAGAAGCCTATATAAAAGTTTCTTGAATGTATCTATGCTATCAGCAAATACTACTGACTGTGGAAGGGAATTCCACATTTTTACTATACTTACAGCGAAACACCCGTTACGCAGTCTAAGATTAAACATCCTCTCTACTAACCTCTTGTTGTGCACTCCTGTCATTAATAGAGTTCTTGGTGTAAACATCTTATTCCAATTATTGTGGTCCCCATTAATGATTTAAAAAATTGCAATTAGGACCTAATTGCAACATTACTGAACAAGCCCAGTGGAATGTGACAAAATACTGCTTGATATAGAGCTTGGTAGAAACAAACACTAAACACACAGAAATGATGGAAGGCCTAGCACACAGCAGACATCAGTATTTAAAAAGTTATTTTCTGTAACCAACTGTCAAAACTTCCAATATCTACCATTTTCAGAGATGTCAATTTTGCAAGAATACATTTGTATTCAACTGAGCATTATCTTAGTTATATTACATTGTAATTGTTTTAATAGTAGCTCTTGGTTCTTACCATGTCCTTTTAGCTGTATACATAGGGCTTTTTAGACATTGTATTTCCTGTGTATTATTTGGTTTTGTTTGAGGCCACTGGTATAATGGTGGGTCCTGCTCACTTGGGCAAAATTCTGAAAGAGAAGACTTATAATTAATATGACCCTAATACAATGATACTGTGGACACATAATCAGTATAGGTCCAAAATGTCTCTGGCACTAAACTAATGTCACATTGCTCAATCCTAAAACTCTAAATGATTAATGACCATTAATTCATCATCAATGTCTATTCCGTTGTCGATAGGTATCAAGTTTCACCAAGCCAAACATTTTACAAAACAGATGGTTATTTACTCTGGAAACAATGTTTTTAGAAATACTGAATTGCTGCCTTGAGTCTTCATTGCCCATTGTTTTATTAGCATATCCTAAGAGCAAATATAAAAACTTACATCCCACCTTTAACCACCTCCAGCGGGTTCACATAAATGTATGTACTCCGCTGGAAGTGGTTATACCAAGAACACGGCTGCTGCTTCTGTTTAAACAGCAGACGATTACTGTTTAAATGCAAGTGATCCGGCATCTGTACAGGCGCCAGATCGCTTGTACGGTGCGGCACCGCGTCCCCCCCATCACTTCAGGTGTCACTGGCCACAGTCTCCGGCTCGTAGAGCCAGAAGAAGAAGTTGGTGAAGCAGATCTCTGCTTGGTCAGCTTCTTTGGGTTCCCTAGGTGACATTAAGCGGTCTATTCACAAAGCTGCCGAAGGATCTGGCCGTAGCTTCGGCCGATCCTTCGGCTGGCTTCGGCCACAGGACCCCTTCGGTTCAGGAGAACAGAGGGGGTGCTGTACGGGCTATTCACAATAGCCTGTACAGCTCCCGATCACGGCCTCGCAGCTCAGTCGAGCACTGAGCCGTGCTGAAAGCCAAAGCTGGCCGAGCAGCCAGCCATTGGCCGGCCGACAGCCTGCTTCTGACAGCTGGGCGGAGCCAGCCGTGATCTTACGGCTGGCTCCGGCCACTTTCAGAGAGATCAGCGTCCCTGGTTGCTAACCAGGGACACTGATCTCCAAACATCTAACTCTCCATGGCGCCCCGGGAGTCTCCTGCTCCCGGCCGCCAAGGAGAAAAACCCTGCTGTGTCTTTTTTCTTTATTCTGACACGGAGCGATGTCAGAATAGAGAAAAAAAAAAAGAAAAATTCCCATTCAAAAGCATTGGGACATTACTATTGGCTATTGGCTATATCAATAGCCAATAGTAAACTAGCATTGTACCCGCCCTCTGCTGATGGACCTGATGGGGAACTGAAAAAGAGGGCGGGTACAATGCTAGTTTACTATTGGCTATTGCAAATTGAAATAGCCAATAGTAATGTCCCAATGCTTTTGAATGGGAATTCGTCTTTTTTTTTCTCTGTTTTCTCGCTCGTGTCAGAATAAAGAAAAAAAAAGACACAGTGGGGTTTCTCTTCTTGGCGGCCGGGAACGGGGGGCTCCCAGAGCGCCCAGGAGATTTTTTTAATTATTTTTTTTTTACAGCAGCAGAGCCGCCGGACAATAGGAAACTATTGGGCAGAGCTAGCTGTCACTGCTAGCTCTGCACAATCGTTTTCTATTAACTTTTTTCTACTTTTTTCACTCTTTTTCTGTTCTGCTCGGTGCCTCTGAGGGACCGAGCAGAACAGCCGAGCCAAATGCCGCTCGGCGGCATTCGGCTATTCTCTCACTGCTGTTCGGGATCTTTCAGAATAGCTCGAACAGCAGTGTGAAGCCTGCCAGATGTTGGATCAGCTGAGTCGAACTCCTTCTGCACTTCAGGTGCTAAGCATGTTCAACATGCTAAGCATGTTCGGCTGATCCGAAGCCACACGAAGCAAGCCGATGTACGGCTGATTTCAGCCGATGTACGGCTGAAATCAGCCGTACCAGCCTGAAGTGAATAGCCGAACAGTGTTCGGCTCACTTCACTTCTGATCGGTCATTCACTCGGCTGCCCTCGGCAGCTTTGTGAATAGACCCCTAAGGGTCTGAAAGACCCCTGATGTCTCCATAAAGAGGACCTGTCACATTATAATTGCTATTACATAGGGGTCTCGTTACCCCCTATGCAATAGCAATAGAGGTGAGTGTAAAATGTAAGAAAAAAAAGTTTACAAAATTAAACATAAACAAATTTAAAAAATAACACGCGTTGGATGCGCCTACGTGCAAAAATAAAAATTGTGCCACACATGGTACATAGCGTCGTGAGCATCGGAGTGAGAACAATAATTCTAAGCCCATAAATCCCTGTTAGCACTAAACTGATGAGCCGTAAAAGCGTTTAAAGCCTATGGGAAATTTTGGGTGTTGTAGATTTTTGCGGCTCCACGGACACACGCAATTTTAAGGCTTGACATGTTTGGTATCTACTTACTCGGCGTGACAATATCTTTTATATTTTACCAAAAAAATTGGGCATTATATTCTGTTTCTGTGCACTAAATTTAATTTTAATGTATTTTATCCTAAAAATACCAGTTTGATAAACATTTGCGCAAATACCGTGCAACATAAAAAATTGCAACTAGCATCTTTTTATTCTACAGAGCCTCTGCTTTCAGAAAATATATCATTGTTGGGCAGCAAGTGGATAATGACAATAATAATTATATTTAACAGGCGTTCTCTACAGGAATGTAGGTACATTTTGTAGGTACAAAATTCTAAACATTTATTTCCAGTAATCCTGTCATTCTGTGTTCAATAACAACAGAGGAAACCAATAGAGTCATAAAACCTAATATAACTGAATATGTGTGTTTGTTTAGAAAATCAAACCAAATTGTAGTTATTATTGCCAATGCTATTGTCTTGATTTTATAACTGAGCCCAATTGCGTCTTTGCAGCAAAATTACAAATATTCCTGCAGACAGTAAATTCAAATGTAATACAAAGATATATAAGGTAGCTTGAACTTACCAACTGGTGACACAGTTAATTGTGTGAGTGTCAGACCGCTGAGAACATTAGAGCTTTGATTAATCTTGTCCATAATTGTATCTTTTTCCAAAACAATGTTGTTGCTGTTATTGTACACCAGTAGAGCCCATATAACAAATCTACCAAATAAAAAAGAAGGTAATAATTAGAGAGGAAAAATTAATAAAAAGTATATGCATAGAGAGGAATAAAAAGTGTTTTGCATAGTGCAAGTTTAATGACAGTTGACCTGAACTGAAAAAATAAAGCTTGCACGGCTGATTTCAGATGGAAGATTTTTGAAAAAATAAAAAAAACAACTGGGTGGAGCTAGCAGTGACAGCTAGCTCCGCCCAACTGTTTCCTATTGGCCGACACCTGCTAGAGTCCTCTAGCAGGTCCCGCCCAATGAGTAACAGCTGGGCGGAGCCGGACGTGACATCACGGCCGGCTCCGCCCAGTTGTTATTGTTTAATGACAGATCAGCGTCCCCGGGTCATTTGGGGATGCTGATCTGTCATTACAACTGGGCGGAGCCAGCCGTGCAATCACATAGTGAATAGCCCGTACAGCAGCCCTTCAGTTCAAATGAACTGAAGGGCAGAGGCGACCGAAGAGAGCCGAAAGAGCAGCCGAATCTAAGGCTGGATCCTTCGGCTCCTTTGTGAATTACCCTATTAGAAATGTTTATTGTGCCTAAGCAGTACCCTGAAACATTTACCTTATGTCTATAATGCCTCCTCCACAATAGCAGTACACTTCCCAATATGTGAGTGTGCCTAGGCATTCCTTTGCCCACAGCCTCATAGCTGTATATCTGCAGTGTGGGATATAAGGCACTGCTGCCTCCTACTTCAAGGGGTGCATTTATTAAAGGCAAAAGTTCACTTTGAAAATCTAAAGTTAAGTCCACTTTAGTCCACTGGGCTCTAGGCATTTTAGACAGTAAAATAAATGTATACTTATCTACCATCCATAAAAAGGAGTATCCAATATTGGATCATATGACCTGGAGCACTGGAGGCCAAGCACTGGGATACTAATGAGAGGTGCTCTGTGACTCTGTGACCTGCTTTTGTCCATTTTATTTGTCCCATAATTGCTGTTTGAGCAGTAAAGTGGACCAGCTTGTCATCCGATGTGCACTGCAGCACATCTCATTGGCCTCCAAGTCTGAATTTTACTGTACAGGCCAATACCACGTCAAATGACGGTAGTTACATTCAATGCATTTAATATGCTTTTAATGAATATATGAGTACATCAGTTAGTGTTTTATATATTCCTGGTGTTCAACCACAACTATTAGTATGGAATGCGACATAAAAATGTAATCACCTTTTCGCAAGACAATAACCCATTATGTTCACGTTTCTCTCAGCTAAAAAGTGTTGATAAGATGGTCAGTCATTATGGCATATTCTATCATGCATGCAGCATACCTTCAGTTTTAAACCACTCCTGTAACACAGCCCTTGACCATTTCCTCTATAATGTCTTCAGTCTATGACAGTCTTCTGTAGTAGTATATATAATTAATAGAAAATGCTGCCCTTCGGTGACATCAGGGATGCATTTGCGGTCCCACGTACTACGTAAGTTGACAGACACTGCACTGCCTAAGTTCATCAGCTGAAGCTGTGTTCACTTTAATTATCTAATTATAGTCAAACACAAATACTGTTTTTTTTCAATAATTCTTGTTCATAAATGGATGATCGAAATGAACACAGTTTCACAGGGAAAAAGCTATCCTTTAGTAAATCCTTCCCTCCAGAAGAGGCAACTTTACTTAATCCAAGCTTGGGAACTCTGAGGCATTTGGATGTCCCGGGCATGTTCTTTGTATTTTATTAGTGATTTTCAAATTCCTATTCTGAAAATGCATTGCTATCTGAATCATGTTTATAGGACAATCACCAGGAAATATTTTAATTGCAGTAACACAGCTCATCTTGCAACCTAAACCTAAAATTGTATGGCCACAATGGAACATGCCAACTCTTGATTTAGAAAGTAATGCTGCAGTTTGCAAACTTCCAATTAGTTCCTGCCCTCATTAAGTAAAGATAGAGCACCTTATGAAAAATAGCCCAACTGAACAAAAAATATTAAATGATATCATAAAGCTAAATTTATGCCAAAGACCATATTTTAAGCAGCTAATCCACTATGTTGGAAACATTACCCTTGATTGGCTTTGTTCTCCACAGCTCTAACAAATCTTTCATGGCTCTTTGTTAAGCTAAAATGAAAAAAAAAAACAAAGAAATGGTTACCCATTGTATTTTAGTGAACATGTACTTTCTTTTTACATATTTAACCAGTTATAGTCATTGGGCTTGCTACATCTGCCCAATAAAACTTCATTTAAATACTTTGGGCACATTTAGTATGCCCAGCACCTCCTCCTCTCCACGGCTCTCTTGTTAAAAGTACCAGCGATTCCCAGCTGTTATTTTAACAGCCAGGTTTTTTTTTTATTGCACAGGAACAGAGTTTGAACATATTAGGTTTGGTTGTTTTTTTTTTTTTTTGTACCTTGCTTTTATATTTTTCTTAAATGTCATATGATTCTTATATGTCCTACCCTATTATATTTGACCTTTTATAGAATTACACTGTGTATCTGAGAAAGTGACAAGTCATCACAAAATGCATTTTTGGTGTTAATAAATGTTTGCTTCATTATGTTAGCATTCATCAGACAATCATTCCTTTGCATTACTTTTGCAAGAGCGACCAGCTTTAAAATCTATGTGGAAAGTTATTCTTATCCTCCCGAGCGCTGAATAAAAGCTGCATACATCATCTAGGATGTGGATACCCGCAATATCTACAGATGTAGGTTCTATCATCCCCATACTTCACTTTTAACTAAATTATTTTTTTCTTGTTACTCTCAGAAACTACTACACTATAAGGGCTCGCCCAACCGATCCTCTTTCCTTTTTTTCTTGTGGCTGCCTGGTGAACTTTATTGTTTCCCCTTTGAGAACCATATGACCAAGATTCAAATAAATACATAAACTGTGTTCTTATTTAACTTCTTAGTAACCCCAATCAGCCTGAAATTATTCCTTCCTCCTCTTCTCTCCTTAGCTATTATTTTGCTGATTTTTTTTGTTTCTATATTTTGCTATTAATATTTTTTTGTTTGTTTTCATATATTTGTTTCTTAATTTTTTTGACACATTTTTAAAAAAGGTGCAAACATGAAAAAAGTCTATTTAATTTGTAAATAACTTTGCTATGCTTTGTAATAGAAACAACATTTTAGTGTCATCTTTCAAAGAGGAATTATACAATAGAATGTACACTTTTTATCATCAGGGAACACTTAAAAATAACACTGGTTAAACTAGAAAAAAGTACACTTTATGTTTGTTACAGCCTTTGTCTATAGTTTGCATAGAAAAAAAATACAAAATTTTGGACAATATTGTTGAGAAACCCTTGATTGTACTAAACAAAACAATATATGTATTACTTTCTTATCTTACTCAAAGTTATTGTCAATCCCATTCCTGAAATGTAAAAATGAACCTGTGTATAAGGGGTATACAGGTTTGAGAGCTGAACTGGTCAAATATAAAAGTTCTGCTTGAAATGAAACACTGTAATATGTTTGCTAATACCATCATTAGCCAGAAAAGTGTGCCCCTTTGTATTTAAGTTTAACTTTGTTAATGACTTTCCCTGACCTAGCTGATATGAGCCAACTGCAATTCTGCTCTTCTAAGAAATTGCCTCAGTGGACAGTAAAGACACTCTCATTGGACATTTTTTTGCTTTTATTTTCTTGATTATCTTTATGCACTGGCCAAGCTGTCCATCTAAAGTGACAGTTAGGGGAATTGGGCGAAACTACTATACTGATAGGGTTGCTTTAACCCCTTCGTGACGGGAGACGTACACTGTACGTCCAGCCACAAAGGGACCAAATGACTTGTCACGTACACTGTACGTGACGAGTTATGTGCTTCTTTAGAGGGCTGTTAAACGCTGAGAATCAGCTTTTAACATTCATTAATGGATGCCCTTACTACAGAGGCATTCATTAATGAAAGGGTTAACCTTTTTCAGACACCCGATACCTTAATATCGGGTGTCTGAGAGTCAAAGCAAAGCGGACACAGATGCCGGCTTTTGCCGGCATTCTGACAGCTCGTATAGATCGAGAGATATCTCTCTCAAGCTATACTGGGTTTTTTTTTTTTCTTTCATGAATAGATACAAAATGTGTCTATTCCTACAATGTATCTATTCCTGGAAGAAGAATGTTTGTTTGCTGATCGTTGTTGCAACAATCAGAAAACATTTAGTAACAGCTGAATCCTGAACTGCTGCAGGATCAGTGTCACTAACTTATTATCGGCTGTTCTGAAGTTTGAAGCAGCCTGATAATAACCAAAAATTTATTAATTTATCATGCAGTAACAGTGAGATTAATTCACAAAATCTGCTTGATATAATTAAATAAATAAAATAACATTTTTAAGTTAAAAAAAAAGTGAAAAGTGTAAAAAAAAAAAAAAATTGTGAAAAGTGTAAAAAAAATAAAAAAATGTGTAAAAAATAAAATAAAATAAGGGACAAATAAATGAATGTATTTATTGCATTTTTTTAGCTGTGCTGGTTTTGTAAAAAAAATACTACAAATCAAAACTGGGAAAAAAGTGTTTTTTTTAACGTTTTTTTTCTCTTTTTTTATATTTTATTTGTCCTAAGTGAGGCGTTAGACACACATATGTGATATAAATATGTAGCCCTATCTGTCCTCCAAAAAACAATATATAATATGTGTGGGTGCACTTTGTAAGAAAGTATATTACTGACGTGGAAGAATCACACAGCAAAAATGTCAAAAGTGTGTCAGTCATTTACGAACAGAAACTAAAAACAAGCTCAGTCATGAAGGGGTTAAACCTTTCTTTCCAAAAGAAAATTGTTGCTGTAAGTGCTGAAAAGTGTTAGATGGAGTTTTAATTTATCGATTACTTAAAGTGCATCTAAAACTATGGGGTCTATTCACGAAGCAGCCGAAGGATCTAGCCGTAGCTTCGGCCGATCCTTTGGCACCAAGGACACTGATCTCCAGGCAGCAAACTCTCCCGGGCGCTCCATGAGTCTCCCTCTCCCGGCCGCCCATGAGAGAAACACTGCTTTTTCTTTTTTTTCTTTATTCTGACATGGAGCTGTGTCAGAATAGAAAAAAATATATATTTTTGCCCATAGGAATGCATCGCTAGATTCCTATTGGCTATTTCAATTTGCAATTGCCAATAGTAAACTAGCATTGCACCCGCCCTCTGCTGATGGACCTGATGGAGAACTGCAGCTCACTTCAGTTCACTTCAGGTCGGTCTTTCACTCGGCTGCCTGCGGCAGCTTAGTGAATGGACCCATATATGTCCATCTTAAATACCCAGTCCACAGGATGACAATGAATAGTTCTGTCATCCTGTAAAAGGAAGTGGAGAATCCACACATCTACTGGCAGCATTGTTCCAAATTACTGCCCAGCTCTCCGCTACCGTCATTTGTCTGTTTGACTATGGTATCAGAACTGTCACTGACCATTATGTGCAACAAGTTTTTTTCTACTGAGAAGTTCCCAAAATCACAAAAATTAATGGAAGCCCAAGACACATTACCACCAGATCTGACCTTAGCTACAGCGGATATCAATGGACTTTAGAAGCCAATATAGAGCAGAGAAATGTCAGTCACAGGAGCAATGCATGGCAACATTTAGGCCCAATACGCTGTGCATTTAGCATGACATTCCTCCACACAGTGCCTACGTGCCATTCCCAGCACATCACACTTCTGTTTTTTTCTGGTTTACCATTATTGTCACAAGTGAGATCTAATTCGGTCTGTGCTTTACAGCAAGCTGCACATTTTTCAGTGCACCAATTGCCTTCCCTTGCATTGGGACTGAGCAGAAAACAAGGGCCAACGCAGCCCTAATGCATCTGATGTGAATTGGCCCCTAGGCCTGGTTCACACCTGGGCATTTTACAGCGCGTTCCTACGTGCTATAAATTGATGGAGGTGCCCTCCGCACACCTTTCAGCAGTCCCGGCCAACAATCAAATGGTGCTCGAAGTAACTTCACGGATGACACCGTGCAAAACACAAGATTGAAGAAAATAGGTCACCAGCACTCCATAAGTTAAAATGAATGAGTCCTTTTAATGGACAATGATGTCACAGAAATCCAACATGAGCCGACGTTTCGGGGCCACACAGGGTCCCTTCTTCAAGGCAAGAGATGTGACAATGTAATAACATCCACAAGCTACATATATACCCCACTCAACATGTGAAAACCAATGATTGCCTATGGGCATGGTTTCCACCTGGGCGTTTTACATCGCGTAGGAACGCGCTGCAAAACCCCCAATGCCCAAAGAAGTACAGGAGCTTCTTTGGGGCGTATTTGCCGCGCGTATCCATTAGGATACAGCCGGATAGCCCTCGTAAACAAATTGCGGTAAAAATGCGAGGCACGAAACGTGCGGCAAATGCGCATATTCGGTATGCCTAGGTGTGAACCCAGCCTTACTGAGCTACTTCCTGATGTAAACTATTAAGTTCCGGTTAAAGGTACCCTTTGGTTCAAACCTTGCCTCCAATCAGTCTTTGGAGAAAGAGAAAGCATTTGTTTAAATTATCTTACTAAACATTTTACTCACATGGTTTTTGGCATTTAAAAAATAAATCAGTCTATGTGCTGATTTCTCAGTACACATACAGTACATAAATCACCACAAGAGGATTACCTGGTATTAATGATTGCTTGTATGTCTCTGGCATTCCTTGTGTTAATCATCTGAATGCTAGAACAAAAAAATGGCAAATTTTGCAACTGTTACATTGTTAAAGGAAGCTCATACAAAGGGGCAAATGTAGGCTGTCAAATGTTAGTTGAATGGCTGTCATGCTGATTCAATGGCTTCAAAATCTTGAGCCAATGGCCTAGCAAACTTTGATTTAATCCATGGAAGACCTGTACCAGTGTGACTAAGAATATTGAAGCCAGAGAATGCCAGTCAACTGGCACAGGCAAAAAGCACAGCACATCACAACCTTGCAAATATTCAAATGTGTAAAGAAATGCATGTGTAAAGAAATGCACAACTGGAAAAAAGTACTCCCTTGATATGAAATTATGTACGAAATACAGAAGTAAAGCCTTAATTTTTTTGTTATTTTCCTGCATATTTATAGTGAATGCAACTTCACCTTATTTACTAAGCTAGGTGAACATTCACTTTGCTAAGTTAACAGTCTGTATTACTTTAGTAAATCAACCCCAATGATTTCATTATAACATTGTAATGCACTTTAGGTGTAATTCCCAAGACTAACTATACCAAAAGAATGCTATAGTTAAGTGACTTAATTTTGTAAGATATTTATACAAAATATTTCTCCATTAATTACATAATTATGAGATTTTTGAACAACAGGCAGTTTTGCAATTGTCTTACCTCATATTTACAACAAACACCGAATAATCCCAATTCTGAAATGTCATGTTAAGCTGGAAAAAATACACATATCACACATATTAAACTACAACAACATTTATAACACTATTGAGAATAACACTCAAAACTGCTGAGTGCCTACATATTGAAAATAATTGACCCATTTCCTATCAACAGTAACTAAAAGGAAAGAGAATATTTTGGAAAGTGTTTAAATTGTTCTTTGTCTAGGTCAAGTATGTTATTTTACAGCTGAACTAAATTTCCTGCCTTAAAATCATATGCCTGTTTCCTATCTTCATGTATTTCTCTTACAGTTCAAAACCCTACCTATTTTTTCCAGCAACGCCTCATATTATCTCTTGCTTTGTTTAAATGAACTACAGAAATAATATAGAGGTGCAAAATGCGTTTCAAAATGTTTCTCTCTATTATTCTGCAAAACATTGGGTAATGACGGGAAGAATAACAGGTATGTGTTCAAATGATTACTATTAAAGATGAGCAAAGTGATTTTGGCAAAAGTTGATTTTTCAGCCAAATTACAGATTTTGCCACTGACATTTCCCTGAAGCTGAAACGTATTTACATTTGTCTACTATCCTTTACATTCAATTACTTAACTTTTATTACTTTAAAAAAGTAAGTATTGAGGGGCCACTATTGGCTCAAAAATTAATCCAGGGTAGTTGAAAGTAGCTGCTGTAACCTTCAGAAGGCATTTAAAAATCCACCAAAAACCAACTAGATTTTACCTTTACCAATGACTGCAGTGCAATTCACCAAAATGGCATAATTCACTGGAATCTATTGGTTTTTCTCTGACATTTCGGAGAAATGTAAACCCAAGTTTTTGGTTTTTATGTTTTGTTATGTGACCCATCAACTCAAAATATGGAAAGAATATAACCTGATATCTTGAAAAGCTGATAAACAGAGTGTGAGACAAATATTTTTAATTGGCTTCTTTTATTCACCTCGTGTAAGTGTTGGAGATTTCTAATGAATCATATTATATCAATTAATCATATCATGTCATCTAAATATGCATCGGTTGGATCTTAATGACCTCAAACATGGGAACTTCATGGTATGACTTTGGCTTGTATGTGTGCTTATTTTTAGTACACTGATCTATTCTGACCAAGACCCTAAGTGGTAGCAGCCCTAGACTCTACACCTTGTGGTGTATTAACAGCATGCTTAAAGAAAACCTGTGCTAAAAATGTAGGCTGCCAGTGCTGACCTCTCCTTCAAAAAATGCCAGATTCATCTATTGACCTTCAAAACGTTTTATGAAGCTCATTTGGAACACATATGCAAATCTGGAGTTCTAACTTCTCTTTGGCTTCAACTGCTGCATGTCTGTTCTGGGCCAGTGAGTAAAGGTACTGAAGCCAGAGACAGACAGGCACCTATCATTTTCAGAGGAAGGTCAACCTACATATTTATTTTAGTACAGGCATTCTTACAAGACCAACTCCAAGCAGCAATGTCACCACACAGACAGCAATAAATAGATTCTAACCCTTCCCCACTGTATCTAAAATAATTGTGGATGCAATGTTTTACTGGCTCAAAGGCAAAAAATGTATAAATGTGCTTTTTTCTTTTAAGAAGTGTGCATTCGGTATTTGTGGGATTTGTCTTTAAATAACACAGTAGCCAACAACATCCAAATCCAAACATCCAAATCCAATTACATGATTATTGGATTATTATAAACACATTAAGATAGAGCAAATACTATCATACAATTGCTCTGTAAATGTTTAAAATATCAAGGAAAACCTTATAAACAAATATTTACAGAATCTAAAAAAAGCATGGTATAATTTTTCAAATGTAAACCATATTTATGGATTGTACTTACCCAGGTAGACACTGTATTTTGGACAATCATTTGATCACTTATGTTTATTGACACAACAGTAATTCCAATCCTGTAAAATGTGCCACCTGCACAAATGACAATGATAGTATCAATGCTAAAGCACACTGAAAATTACTATAAATATCAACTACCACCATGGATACATATCTGATACAGCAAATGGTTACTATAATAGTATTCAATAATCTAGGCTCTAGTGAGTATCTATGTTAAAGAAAGCACATTAAGTTAAATGAAAGTGTGTAACAGGAAACAAAAAAAATAAAGGCCCCACCACCTTGTCAAAACAAACTTTGTTTCTTACTTTATTACTATATTACCATTTTTATATTTGAAATTCCACTATCTTAAATTAAGGTGGCAAGCAATAATAGTTATAATTGTTATAGGCAGGGGAATGTTTCTGTAGATTGGCCATAGATGGGTGATTTAAGTTGTTCTGGAAGATAGGATTAAAGGAAATTCACTTTCAATCTGTGATGTTATCTGACCATGAGTGTCAGTACAATGACACAAATTAGCAGAGAATGTATAGGAGGCTAGACAGGGCTGGATTTAAAGCAAATGATGCCCTAAGCACAGCCCAACAGTTGTACCCTCTACTGTCTAACTGACAAGATATTAAGACTCAATAAGTGATGAAAAGGACAGAACAGTTTGACATTTTCAAAGCCTTCTTTACAGATTGGACATGGATCAAGCAACTGATTGAGGCCTTTCATTTAGAAATGATGAGGCACACCACTCCTTTGAAAAACGATTAAGAATTAGGAAGTCAACGGGGCTCATCTACAGTCATCTCCCAGCCTGGAGACAAAAAGGCGCAAAAAGGATAAGGCCTGGTTCACACCTGGGCGTTTTACAGCGCGTTCCTACACGCTGTAAAACGCTCAACATGTGAAAACCAATGATTGCCTATGGGCATGGTTCCCACCTGGGCGTTTTACAGCACGTAGGAACGCGCTGCAAAACGCCCTGCGCCCAAATAAGTACAGGAGCTTCTTTGGGGCGTTTTGCCGCGCGTTTCCATTGGTATTCCCGAGTGTGAATCGGGGTTAACAAAGCGGTAACCCCGAGCCACACTCGGGAATACAGCGTACAGGTCTTACCTTGTCCGCGATCCCCAAAGGAAAAAAACTGAAAAAAAACATACCGCCAGTGAAACGCGCATTTCACTGAACGAAAAAAAAACGCGAAAACAATGAGCTGAAAAACGAGCATAAAAAATACAGGTGTGAACCCAGCCTAAGTGCACTTTGTTTTAATGAGCAATTATACTTTAATGACATCATATGTATGGGACAAAAATGTATGGTGCCCCTTGCTGTTTGCTCTAAACATATGCTTACTTTGCTTAATGTTTAAACCAGTCCTGAAGCCAGAAAGGAATAAACAAATTAAAAATGCCTTGGAGAGTACACAGGGCTGACTCTCCTCACTCCTGGCAGCTGAATAAAGCAATGGGGGAGTTCACAGAAGATAGATAAATAGAAGTGGCATTAAAATGAACCTGCTGTTTACTTTAATCAACTATCAACTTTTCATATATTACCATTACCAAGCATATGCAAGCCTTTGCCTGACAGGTCCTTAACTGGGTTTCAGAATCCTTAAGGGGTCCCCTATCTCTATCTCAAGGGCAATTCCTCTGCTGATACAGAATACTAGTTGCTTTATAGCAGCTTTAGAAAGGTTCCCAACGTTATACACATTAATTTCATCCAAATGTATTTGTCAAATGTTATTGCTACCTGAATAAATCACTGTGAAGCCAGACAGTTCTGCCCGACTTGTGCTTTTAGCCCCACAAGCAATTCCACTGTCTGCATGGCTATGGTTACACCCTTCTTGGATCTAGACATCTCTTCCAAAAACTCTGAATAGACAGCCTAAATTAGTTTAATATTATTTTTTTATTTACAAGAGGGGCCAAAAAAATTCTACTGTTTTTGAGCAATATTCCCTGTTTTTCAAATCTGTACATTTGCATATTATTACGCAAAATCATCATGGAAAAAGCTTTTTTTTAGGGAACCTATCCTATTAGTATACTTTACAAAAATCCTATGTTGTATTAAAAGTTTTAATCTAAAAAAAAAAAAGTTCCTTTTAAAATGAATGCTGTTAGGTCACTACTTACCAGTAGATGCCAGCAGATTACATTAATAAAATCATGTCATAATGAGTATTAGTACACCAGTACATACATTTATATTGATGAGAAGACTGCAAAGAATGTCTGAACTTAGTCACACGTATATTGCAAATATCAGCTCCTAATTACCCTTTTATTTTATTCCTGGCATAAGGTGCAATTTTATCTTTTTTTTTTTTAATGCTCCTTGTAGGGAAAGATACATCGTGCATTTTGCATGCAGCCGCTTATATAAAAATGCCTGACAAATGCACGTATTGGGTATTTTTACATGTGAAATCATTCATCCTATTGGAAGATGCTCCTGCTATTAACCACACTACACAAGAACAAAAGTGAACCTTTGAAAACTACTGTACCAAACCCTACCTATGCTTTAAAAAGGCTCTGATCACTCTGAGGGCAGGGGGAGGGGGGGGGGGGGGAAACTGCTTCAGATATGCGGTGCTGGTAGGGGGGCCTGCATATAACTGCAGCAGACTCTCAAACCTTCCTGTCATGTACAAATAACAACCACTGTAGCAGCCAATGCTTTGGTACTTGCTGATTGTGCTTGACTTAGCAGACTCCTTGCCTCTTGCACATTTATTTTGGCCAGTGAGAATGCCCATCACAGTGATGGGCCAATGTATGGGAATGGAGCTTAGCGGCAACCCTCCCAATTTCTGAAAGTATTGCTTTGCCTACACGGAGCTATGCCTATTAGAACAGCCAGGCACTTGTTATGACACAAAGGTTTGGGAGGCTGCTGCAGGTATATGCAGCATCTTTAGATTCTGCCCTACATGACAGTTTAAAAATCCAAATGATAGACCAAAATATGTGCTCTTCCCCTAAAATGTAAAATGATAGTACAGTATACTCAACAAATTATCATTTTGTTTTATTTACTAGACATTAAGCATTAAATTCCATATAAAATTATTTACTGAGTTGTTTTTCACCCTCTTTCATTTATAAGCCTAAAAGCCTACCTCCTACCTCCAAGTTTCTACAAGAACAATATCTTTATGGATTTTTTTTTCTTTACAGTTAAGTTCTTACTTTAACTATAATTAAAATTAATTAAGTGCTTAACTCAGTATATTACCTCAAAGAAGCAAATGGCATTTAGTCATGCACATTCACATGTAAAGTAGGGAAATGAATGACTTCAGCCCTACCTCTGGAAGCATCAATCCTTTCTTTCACAGTGTTCACAGCTCTGAGCTACGTATACACATCCTGACTGTTCTTATATAATAAATAAATCTAAGGTATTTGTTTACAAAAGTCTAAAATCTCTCTTTAAAGTATGCTGCCATAATTGTTTTTTAATCTATCATTTTCATATATGTATACTAAAAAGCCTTAAATCAAGTTATGAATTGAGCTATATTTATTTGTCTTTATTAATTTTAGTTTGTATCCAAAATGTCTCCAGGAAATAGATCATTGGTCAGGTTAGAAAACAATATGCTTGTGTATTCACACTGGAAAGTACAGATTACTTATACAACAAACCATCAGTGCTTTTTCCAGGTTATTGCTGGAATAGCTATTCCAGAGTAGCCAGCAAACTATCCGCTGCTACGTATTCCTTGTTTTATGTAGTAAACTGGAGTTTCTGTCAAAATAAACTGTCAGTTTTTATGAATATTTTTAGCAGCACGCCTGAAAAGATGCTGCATAATATTAAAATGGACCTGAAGTAAAAAAAAAAAAAGAGATTTGCTATATTGTATATAACATTTAGGGGGTTATTCACTAAGGAGCCGAAGGATTAAGTCCAAACCTTCGGCTCACTTTGGCTGCAGGAAGCCCCTGGTTCAGCTTAACCGAAAGGCCGAAGCACTTAGCTGAGCAGAACGCATATGCACAGCCAAAGCGGGGACTACAGTCACCGTTAGCCCTGCCTATCTGTTTACATTCGGCTAGGATCTGTAAAATTGATCATTTTGCGGAGGGAGTTCGCCAGGTGTGGTCGTGTCGTCGGGCAACGTGCCTTTTTTTATTATGATGAGTCGGCTGCGTCATGGTCATTGCTGGATGAAGTGATTGACCTTGGATTAAGTCGTTGGATTCTTGTTTAGGGTTTTTTGGGGGAAATAAAGGAATTATCAAAAACAATTTTTGTGTTTTTTGTTCAATTAAAAGAATTTTTCAAACGACTGGTCTGTTTATTTACTTTGCTTAACCCTTTAGTGAGTGAGTAGGAGTACAAGCACCCCTTACTCATTCACAAGGGGGGGCGCATCTGAGTGCCCCCTTTGTGAAAGTGGGTACCCGCATGCAAATAAGCCCCCCTGCCCGGAAACCCCCACAACCACTGGGCCAGGGTTCCGGGGAAAAAGCCCCTGTCCATTTTCCGCGGTGGGATCTAAAGTGCCTTGTATGACTTTTCGGGGGAACCCTACGCACTTTTTTTTTACTTTTATCTTAAGGGGTCTGGTATGGATTGGGAGGGGAACCCCACTCTGATTTTTTATGTTGACATAGCTCTTTTTAATTCTCTTCGCTAACGCTGAGGTAGCAAACAGAATGAGCGAGCCGAAAGCTGCACAGCAGCATATGGCTATTCCCTCCCTGCTATATGGCCCCTATGAGAATAGTGGCAAACTTCAGGGAATGAACTGCTGAATGCTCCATATGTTGGATTTGCTGAGGTGAACGTGTTCTTCACTTCGGTTCAGCCGAATGCGCTGAGGCTGTTTGGCTGAACCGAAGGGAGCCGAAGCCAGCCGATAAATGGCTAAAAACAGCCGTACACGGCTGAAGTGAATGGCTGAACTGGATTCAGCTCCATTCACTTTTGCTCGGTTATTGATCTATGACCCCCTTAGAAATGTTAATTGTGCCTAAGCAGTACCCTAAAAATGTCTTGAATCCCTCCTATAAATAGAAGTGTGCTTACTTCGCCTTGAACCTCAT